GACTTAGATGAATACATTGGACCAAATAATTTTATCTTATTTCTAAATTTTATGAATGAATATGCAAGGAGTTCCATTATATTCCTAATGCAAGGAAGGAAATCTATTTTAACTAATTCTGAAGATCATACCTGTAGTATCAAGGACCTATCATATTTTACACAAAGGCCTTTCTTCTTGTTGCTGAACAAGGGAAAAAATTTTTAGTGTCTAAACATGATGTCACTCATGGTACTCTTTGATCATTATAATTCAGAAGAATTAAAATCTAAATATGAATAGAGTTCAACACTTTGACTTACAAGTATTGTGTTGATTTAATGACTACTGAGAGAGACTGAGTGCAGCTTCTTGTGCTCCTTTTTTCGGTGGAGCAAAAAATCAAAGCAGATTTTCCTCTTGAGTGTTGGATAAGAATGCCTTTATACCAATTCTCAGCATCAGATTATTTCCACATATTTTAAGATGAAAGTAGGAGAGTGTAAAAATAGGTAAAAGAGAGGCGATTAGTTCTACGTTACAGTCAGATATGTGATCATTGCTTACCAAAAATGAAGTTTTGATGATGCTAAACAATGAACCTAGGGATCATCCAATCAGAATTTCAATTTTCCATCTATGACTATGAATCTATATAGTACTTGAAAGTAGAAATCAAAGATTTATTTTTGATAAATGAAAATAGGGTTTAAGAGGATCCAAAACACTGATATAGAAAGCAAAACAAACCAACCTAAGGTAACCAAATACCTTTTCAAAAAGGAAGTCATTCTTTGCAAGAGCATAACTTGCAAGTTTAATTCACTTAGTAAATTAGACACAACATATGTCAATAAATAGAGCAAACCTAAGATGTTTGTATAGTACTGTCAATAAGAATTTCAAGAGGGAAGAAATAAAAAAAGAAAGAAAATTAAAGGTAATTCCTTTTTAATTTTATCCTCAAGATCATTCATTTAAATTTAAATTAGAGCAGTGATAAATAGTTTTCAAAAGGCAACAAGGTTCAGCCATTCAGGACAATCATTTGAAACCATCTAGTAACTATTCTATGTTTTCAAAAGGCCACTAGAATTTCCTATTAATGGTAGCACCCAAGGAGATACATATGAAACTCTCCATGTCAAAAACCATCCATGTATATTTGCTACGGGTAGCTCTGCTGTTGTAAGGGACTCTTCTGAAAAGCTTCTTCCAGCCACTGCATAGGTAATCTCTATCTTCCCTTAATTTTTTGAATAAGTTAGACATCTTACGTCTTTAGAGAATATCTTTCTACTAAGTTTTTACACAACTACTACAGTATATTTATTTGCACTAAGTTACTTGTCTGTGCTTTCTTTTAGCACTCATGCATTACTTTCTCTGCTACTTCTTCTTCACCTGTCACATAAGAAAATTGAGTTCTCTTCTCTAGCAATAATGGACTGGTCTCATTCTCTATTACTTCATCTATTTCTCTATCCACCATTGTCTGGCCTTCACAGGCTTGAAGATATTTCAAAATCATTGAGATGATAACCACAATAAATCCTACAATAAAGAGATAAAACCCATATCATTAAGTCCCTGGAAGCCTTCAAAGAGCAGACAAAGAGTTGAGTTAATATCTGAAACTGATAATACCTAAAATTGCAATATAAATAATTAGGCGACCAATGAAAGAGAGCACATTATAATATATAATATAGTAATAAATATAAGCAACAAGGCATTCGAGAATTGTCTTGACCCACACGAGAATTGACACTTTATACATGTCTAGCATCAAGGCCAATTAGGCTGCAAACTACACTAGCATTTGGCATGTTTGAATGGAATGCTTCTGTTCTAAATAAATGAGAATGCTACTAGATTCCTGGTTTAAAATAGTATGATTAAAACACGAAAGAAAACTGAGTAGAGAACCTAACTACGAATGCAGGTAATACAAACAGCTAAGAACATACCCAAGATACCAGAACATCTTCTCTAGGAGGCCTTTTCATGTCAACTGGAACTCTATCTATGAGAAACTCCAATAGCAAAACTCTATTAGTATACATGGCAAACATGTGAACAAAACAACCAAAAACAACACAAGAAAATGAAGTTAGCTGACACAGCAAGTGCTCATGGGGATTTGGATTCCTTTTACCTTTTTTGTTACAGACAAGCATGAAAACAAATCTCAAGGCTCGGTTTGGAAAGAATACAAATACAAATATGTACAATGCAAATACATATAAAATAATACAAAATACAAGGTTTTGTACTCCTTCCAAACTAAGCCCAAGGAGCATAAAGCAGTTGTAATTGAAGTTCAATCACTTAGAATTCTATCTGGACAAGAACCATCAGCAATTGCAAATGAATCTAACCTGGTTTTGGTTACAGGTACAATAATTAAGTCTAGCTAGAAGCCTGATCCTATCTTTCATGGTCCCGGGTGACACCAAAGCTGCAAAGTCTTCTATAATAATCCACTTAGAAGAACTGCTGGAAATGGGCCCAGAACTCATTGATGGGAAATTGCTCATCTAATGATACTGATCATTGCAGGGGAGGTACTTGCTGCATTATATAAAACTAAAACAATTCATAAAGCTATAACATAGTAATAACATAAGACATTATACATATGATGCAAATCATCAACAATCAGTTTGGTCAATGACAGCGTTAGTCTTGGTCATTGACTACTTATGTGATCATTTACAGTCAAAAGGCTTAAGCTGGACCAAGGCAGCATGTGGTGGGCTATTTATTTCTTTCCTTTCTTCTTGAGGCATATTCCACTATTATCTCCACATTTAATCTTTAATAGAATAGAATTTTCATTGTTATCAATCAACCAAAATAAATAGATAAATAAATAATTGTTAACCAAATTTTAAAGTAATACCATCCCTCATCTAGTAGACCAGTGTGGCTGCAAGTTGAGAGAACGGACACAAATGCAATGTGACCCAGGGTAAGACCAGAGTATATGCATTTTTGTGAACAAAGCTACCGCATCCCAGCCTTGTCCATGCATGCCATAAGCTGAAATCATACTAGTCCAAGACACATCACTTCCCTTGCATCCTATAAACACCCACATTTAGCATACATGTCAACTAATGTGTTCTCCAGGAAAAGATTTGGAGTGGTCTCTTCTTAACAACATAATCATGAATCCTTCTCCCCTGCCCTAGAGCATAGTGAAGGGATGAGAGATCCATCATATAGATAGCCAAACCCTGCAGGTAGGTAGGGCGAAATTTCAAAAATTTCTCTCTCCCATTTGAAAATCACATTCCCTGTTTTAGAAAATCTGCATTTTTAATGATCAATCTTGAACCTAATCCGGACCAGATCTGAAACCAAAAGATAGGAGAGGGATATACCTGATACGGAGTAACAGTAACTCCCAACGAAGGTGTTCACACCCAAGGAAAACGCCAAAGACTGCTCCCACTGAAGATGACACAACGTAAGGTGGAGCAGAATCAGCAGGTGGTTCTTCAACAAGAACCAAACTCTTCAGCAAGAATTTGATGGAGGGTGAGTGAGCACGACTTCAGATCAGTTTTTCACCAAAAACTGATATCAAGAACACTTCTTGATTGCTCCTACAGGTAAAAAACAAACTGGCAATGGCGGCAGCAATAGAAGGAGGCAAGAGCAGAAAATGGCGTCAGTCTAACTGGAGTTGTCTTCTCTTTTGGATCTGTAATCAGATTGGATGCTAAAAGGGTTCACCCTCCTCCTCTATTTATAGCCTTAAAGAGAGGCCCTCCTAATCCCATTAGGAGTTTCCTAATCCAAATCTTGTATTTGGATCTGGACTCTCTTTAAGAGATAAGGATAATTCCTTATCTTATTTGCAGATAAAGATCAGCCCTCCTAATCTTATTAAGAGTTTTTTAACCTAAATCTTTATTTGGATCTGGACTCTTTGAGTGGATCCCTATCCTATTTGCTGATCTAAATCCCAGAACCGCCCATTTTTAACTAATCAAATTAAATCAGTTCAAATTGGGCTTTAGGCCCATTAAGTCCATGTGCTCATTCAGCCTCCAAACTGCTGCCCAGTTGGGTATCCTTGTATGGCATGTGACCCAAACATTGATCTAGACATCAGCCACATGGGTTCAGCCCAGCCTATGTTACAAGGCCTTGCCGAATTCACTATAAGAGACAGTGAACCCCTGAGCCCATCACCATTCCTTGGGTCAAGCCACCTTATAAAACCCAAGGACTATGGGCAAATGCAAGATTAGCCTATCAGGTATTACCCTCAATGGTCTTACACTTAACCTCATAGCCCATAATACACTGCCCGACAAGAGAGGACCTCTCCCTCGGCTGCAAAGAACAGTGCTGCACTCTCTATGTAAATATATTTTGTAAAACAAATTTCAACGGTTGAAATCGATTGCCGGCAACTTTGATTTCCATTAGAGAGAGTGCATCCCCGATCATTCACTTTGTCCGACAAAGGGGTTGATCATGTCAYTATGATCACCCACTCATGAATTATCGGACTGTCCCAACATACCCAGGTTTTGACCCCCTCTAAGGATCTCACTGATTGACATATCAAAGACAGCCCAATCTGACACCTAGTGCAGTATCATATTCGAGTCTAGGGGTCAAGTGTAACATTCCAGTTTTGCCCATCAATCTCCAAAGTCCAGGGCAATACTGGAATTCTGGCCCTATTCAGGGTTTTAAGAAAACTCACACTGCATGTACCTCAGGTCTCACCCTGACAGCTGAGACAAGCCACCCCAACCAATTTGGCGGCACATCAGTGTCGGCCTTGGTAGGATAAATCTCCCCAGATCTATCCAACGGCTGTGAACATTCTAAACTAACACATATCTCATATGTGTCTAGTTTAAGGGTACTACACAGAAACACACCATAATAACATAAATCAAATATGYACTTTATTCATTTACATTAAATGTCATAAGATACATCATTCTGATTGGAGCTAAGGGCATACACTGTCTAACACATAGAGATCCCCACATGCGAGAAGAACACTAGCAATAGTAATTGCATCAGGTTCCATTCCACTTCTTTCCATCTGTGAAAAGAGCTCCACAGCTTCTGTAAGCATAAAATTGTTCACATAAATAGCTATCATCACATAAAGTAAGAAGCAATTTCAAAAAAAAAAAAAAAAGCAACAAGCTTGTCTAGAATCTAGATGCGATTGATACATACTTCCATGAAATGTAATAGCCCATTGCCACAACCCTTGGAAGCATTTTTTCCTGAATTCATTTTATTCATGTTGACACTCATACTACCAATATGAAGGAATAAAAAATAAATGAATTTGTTTTTGTTCAAACTGAAATTTGAATGTTGGACTTATGTGACGGAATTATGATATGAACAAACATAGAACACATATCATCATTGAAGTTCATCTTAACATTTACATATTTTAAGTGAGAGCAAAGTTTTAACCTAAACTTAGCTTTGATTGTCACACTCTGCTAACTAACATCTTAGTGATCTATAATGCAAAACAAGATATAAAGTAATAAATCAAATTTCAAAAATTAAAAAAAAAAAAAAATCAGAAGTGAACCTTCCACATAACCATGTTCCAAAAACCCTATTTGTACTATCCAGGAGGGTGTGAATCAAACAACAATGTCAATATTTACCTACATAGCACCTTTGAACACAGCTTCAAAAATAACTCCAGTGTAATAATGAAGACCTCTTCCAAGACTCAAGTCAAAAACCACTTTTTCTATACACTATTCGATTTTTCTAGAGCTTTAAATAGAATCTCTAACTCATTCAATGCTAGAACAGATCCACTGTTGTTTTGAAACTCGCTGCCATCTTGTTTCAATTCAGACAATGTTTCCAATGGCAATCCCCTTTTCTTTACAAAAGTGTCAATTCTTTCTGTTGTTTCAATAGTTAATCCTTTCTCCTCAACCTGCATACATGATAAATCAATTTTTAACATGGGAAGTACCAGACAAATAAACGATGGAAAATAACAAGAAAAACATATGAACAAAGCTAAAAACACAAAGTATCTATCGTAAGGCATCCACGAAAAAAATCAATTAGTTCACAACCCTATCATATTAAACACTTGTAAGAGAAAGTGCAGCAATTCAATAATAGATACATGAATCTCTTCGAGATCAATTTTTTTAATGAGTCACTAATGGAGGACCATGAACATCAAAAAGCAATAAAAGGAACCCTAGGCACGTAGAATGACAAGTATGCAAATCAGAGAAGAGAAGAGTTGATGAGATAATACCTTTCACCCTAATAGACAAAGGGAGCCCTCCTGGTCACTTGAAGAAATTTTTAGGAAGAAACGAAAGAACTATTACCATGAGGTGAGCAGCAAGATGAGATAACCAAGAGAGGTCGATTTGAATGAAGATGAAGGGAAGCCCCATTCGAAGATTCCGCCCTCTGTTTTTCTCGTTTGATCCCAGAAAAATCTCACCAATCGAAAGGCTTAGCGGAGGACTCCTCTTCTTCCCCATCTTCTCAGAGGACTCCTCTGTTTGTTTGCATTCATCACAAAAATCCCACGAAGCAGAAACTTTGAAGATTTTGCMGAGGTTTTGGCGGGTTGGGCTTTGTCAATTTGTCGACCAGAATATAATGAGGTTTTATACCGGTTCAAGTCCGGTTCAGATGTAAACCATCGTGCCAAGTGTATAGAGATGCCGCCCAACTTTCATTTTCCTCTTGTAGGTGGCGGTCCCTTGGAGAACGCCGCCTTACTTCTCTCTGTAGCGGCGGTCTTAAAGAACGCCAGTACTAGACCACCACCTTTGGCTGTTTTTCTTGTAGTGGGACAAGTTTCGAGTTGGACTCCGTCCGATTGGAAGTGTTATGGAGGGTCCTAAAATTGATATGGACTAGGACCGGTCCGAACATGAATCATCCATTCATAGGATGGACCGAAAGTGGACAAGGCCAAAAGTTCAAACGAGTCCACTGGTCCATTCATTTTCATTTGAAGTTTGAACGTTAAAGGCTTGAAAAGTGGAAACTTTCGAAGGCTAGGGTTTGGCGCCTCCATCGCTCCATCTCAAAGTCTCACTGGAGGTATTTCGTTTGAAGCTTCGGACGAACTCCAGTGGTATTTCCCTCTCACTTTCTCCAACGACGGTCTCTCAACGCCTCTCACTTGCTCTAGCGAGCAGTACAACACTCTCTTCTCTCAACGCCCTCTCACTTTCTTCAGCGGCGACAACACTCCCTCTTCTCTCAGAGTCTCAGGCAATCATTTTTTCTCTTGTATCTCTCTCTCAAGTGATAAGCTCCTCTGGCCTCTGCAACAAGTATTTCATCTATCCTCTGTCACTAGAACCTAGCACAAAATTCACCATTCTCTCCTTCTTTGCTTGGATTTAAGGATGTTTCCAAAACAAACGCTATGTAGTTTTGGTGATCTTCCTCCATCTCTTGGTTTGTGATTTTCTTCATCAACTTGCATTTTGTTCTTCAATGTTTCTTGATGGATTTTGCTTATCATGCATGATTTGGCTGTGTTCTAATCTTTTGAATTTGCTTTTAACCGTTTATTTCTTAGGAAATCCCTATTGTCTAATGTGCACTTGGTAATTGTGTTTTTTTTTTAAGGCCACTTGGTAATTGTGTTTCTTTAAGTCTATTATTTAGTATTTAGTTATGATTTTGTGTTGAACAGATCACTTGTTATTTTATATTTTAGAAATATAGTTTGAATATGTTTAAGTTTGAAATCATACTATCATCTTGTTTTCCAAAGTAAAACTATAGAGGTAATGTTTTTTAAATTCTATTTATCAAATTAGTTAGTTGATCCCAACAATGGGCAAAGGGTTGTTATTGCTATTGATTTTGACAACAATGGTAAACTAAAAATTTTGAAACTGAGATTAATTACAGGATCCAAACACAAAAAACTTGACCCATCATGGCTCAAGTGTTTTTTTTTCCATGGGGAAAATCTATGCTATCGGAAAGACATGATACTGGAAGAGCTTTGACCCTGCCCGTGAATTTTGATAAATATCATCTGATTGGATACCAGYTTTATGATATTGGTTGATTGGTGATTCGGTTTCAGGTTTTTTCCAGTATCATAGTTGAACCCTTTTTCTTGTTCTTAAATTTGGTATTCAATTGCATTTTCTTTTTATTTTTACACTAGAAGAGCCATATTCAATGCACAAGCTGTAAATAGTAAAGGGATTTATAGCTGTATCCTTGTAAATGGAGGTGCCAATGGACCTAGCCCATTTGTAATGGTTTATAGTGGTCTAGGTTGGGTTGAACCAATATGTAGTCTATTGATAGAAGATAAGAGTGGGGCTGTGAGGTTGTCAATGGACCAGGTTTGGGTTGGAGACAATCTGAATTAAAACCAAATTGAACAAGTTGCACAGTCCAATAGGACAGTGGATTGGATTGGACCGGTCCAATCCGGTCCACAGCACCCACCTAATCTTATAGTGCTTTGTTGGGTTCAAGCTTTTTTTGAAATTGCTGCATGTAAATTCTGCTTTCTGAAGCAGAATGTCCATGAATTTTAGTCTATTTATCACCTCTGTAAACCTCACTATTTATCACCTCTGTAAATCCTACTTTCTCTGACCCACTTATGGTTTGACTTAAAACCATAAAAAAGAAAACAAAATAATAACTAGGCCCACTTCCACTAGAAGGAAAAGAAGTAGAGGAATTTCCCAGCTTCTCTGACCATTTCGATCTCTATAACATTATTGGACTTCTTAGTCAGAGTGTGAGTGGATCGGAGATGGTTCAATTGATAACCACCATTTTGTGGGATGGCATTAAGTTAATTGTGAAGTTTGGCCAGCACTAAACAGCTGCAATGGTTTGGAGAGAAATGATCACTAATAAAAAAACTTTCCGTAGCACAGTATTCATCCATTTGATGAGAAGTGCTCTATTGTCTCCCTTTAGTTTGGATTCTTTATAACATTGTCAAATGAGTATTAATTGTTAAGTTTATTATATTACCCAGATAGGTATGAAATGATTCCAACTATGTTTGAATACCATACTTTAAAAGGTGCTCCACTATAATGGGTCCCTTCATTGAATTTGAACTCAAAAATATGGTACAAAATTGCATAAGTTTCAGTTTTCAAATGTAGTTAATTGGATCAAACTCTCAACTGGCTCCATTAATATTGGTTCAGTGATTATTGTGCATCCTCTTACCATTCATTTAACTCCATTGCCATTGAAAACTAAAACACTACAATTAAATTCAAGATATGGTTTCAAATAAATAAATACACTTTTGCATTGGATATCTGTTTTCTAAACTTTTTGACTCGTGGTAGTGTTCATGTTTTATTTGATTTAGGAACACAATCAGTAAGATATTCCATGGGTTTTGCTTTATCACATCACAAACTGTTCTGATCTCAGTATCTTGATACCTTCCATATTGAGCAAGTTCTTCCCATCATCCTCTGGCTTTTAGGCTATTGATGACTGCATCTGGTGTTGAGATTAAGGCACAACCAGATGGTGCATAATAGCTCCTAAGTTTAAGAGCTTTAGGTAGTGAATCTCTTTGTGCTACAATGACATCATGAACACACTTTGGTGTTATCCAGTGAAGACAATCGCCATACATCAGGTTCTTGGACATGTATCTTGCTATCTATTCTAGATGCCAAGCCCTTAGTACGCTACTGGCTTGTCTTTCATACTCTGAGGCCAGTCCTAATCGATAAATAGATCCACGAATCCTATAGTTGTGTTCCATGATGAAGGGTAGAATGCCAGCAGCACGGTTGGCATCTCTAATGTGGTTACTGATTTCTTGGAAGACATCTATATAGAGTTGCTCTACATCTTCTGGATATTCTGGCATTGGAATTTGCTTGGTGGCTGATTGGTAATCAAACCACCCTAGCTTAAAGGCCTCCATCCTGAGAAGTGCATACTTAACTGCCTCAGGATTATTTATTATCCATTTTCTTCTTTGCAAGTGCATAAACACCATGAGCCATAGTAAGAGTAGTAGTGTCTGTCGTACCCACTCCTTTGCCTACGTTCTTGGGGTCTACAACTGTATAGGCAAAGTTGGTTGGTATTAATAACCACCTATCTCTAGGAATTTCACCCATTGATTGTGTAGATTTTCAAGACTGCTATTCAGTCTTGATCACTAAGAGATTTTAGGTTCGATGAGAAGAGAAAGTGAAAAAGATGTAGAAGAAAGAGTGATGGAAGAGCAATAGAACAGATTTTGAGGAGAAGAACAGAATGTCAATATTCTGCCGCCGCCACTTTAA